TAGTACATGTGAGAGACTTTGATAGTACTTGTGAAAGAGTTTGATAGTAAATGTGAGAGATTTTGATAGTATGTGTCAGAGGGTTTGATAGTATGTGTGAGAGAGTTTGATAGTATGTGTCAGAGGGTTTGATAGTATGTGTGAGAGAGTTTGATAGTATGTGTCAGAGGGTTTGATAGTATGTGTGAGAGAGTTTGATAGTATGTGTGAGAGAGTTTGATAGTATGTGTGAGAGAGTTTGATAGTATGTGTGAGAGAGTTTGATAGTATGTGTGAGAGAGTTTGATAGTATGTGTGAGAGAGTTTGATAGTATGTGTGAGAGAGTTTGATAGTATGTGTGAGAGAGTTTGATAGTACTGTATGTGTGAGAGAGTTTGATAGAAAATGTGAGAGAGTTTGATAGTATGTGTGAGAGGGTTTGATAGTAAATATGAGAGCAAGTTTGAATTACAGCCTAAAGGGCCTCTCATACTAATATATGTCCACCCTCACTGACTAAAGCCTCTGGCCTTGGACTGACCTCGGGCTGAACAAAATTAGCCCCAATGAGCAGTAAACAAGGGGGTGGGACAAGGCATCTGTCAATCATTCTGTACCAAAGAAAAACATTAACAGGGTTGTGAAAAATTAGCCCTTTTGGAAAGACTGGGATTTTCTTGAAACTGTTAGGCACCAATTTTGTTTTTAATTTCTCAAAATTGAATTCAATATTTTTCATTCATGTTTATTAGTTATTTTAACAATTTTATTGTGAACACTAGGGAAGGCTTAGCCCTATAGCCCACTTGATACCAGCAGTCCCTGATTGGGTTAATTGGTAACTGTGAATTGGTGATAAAGCGTGAAAGCTTGTTTGTCTGAACATGTCCCTGTGGTGGACTCGCAACCTGTCCAGGGTGTCCCCCCACCTCTCATACACAGACTGCTGGATGCCGCCACCAGGAAAGGGAAAAGGCGACTACAATGATGATTTCTAAGTGACCTTTCCTGTTTGTGTAATTACACAGGTTGTGGTCGTTTTTTAACCCGAGATTCACTGGAAGGCGGCAGGAAACACATTTTTCTTTTATCTTTATGGTTCCTTTTCCCACCGTTACGAATGCACAATCTCTGCATCCTTGTGTGTTAATCTGGCAACATCAGTTTCAGCAGAACATATTTTATTTTCCAATTACCTGCCAGCAGAATTCTGCTCTAGCAACCGTGACCAATTTACTGACTCTGTATTCCAGCAATATAGTTTCAGCACAAACAGTCTATTATCTCCTGTAGTACTAATTCCAGGTATTGTCGAGGTTTGTGCAGGTTTGCTTACTGCAGCAACGTGAACTCTGTGGGTTCTTGAAAAGTTTCACATCTTTTCGAGGGAAAAACTTCAAGYACCTGCTGTATGTTTTTGAGCATGTTGCATTAGCTTCTGACAGACTCGGAACTGAAAATAAACACTGGAGGGCTGGAAGTTAATGAACACAAAGCAGCTGGTGTCAACAACAAAAATTACTCAAACTTGTCTATATCTCAGTCAAACACAGAAGACCCCTCTGTCTGTTATTTGTTGCAAAATGACATTTCCATGGGCTGCCGGGTGATATTTAGGACTTTAATAAACTTTTTAATGCCTGTCGTGAATAACATCCGTTTACAAAATGTTAGGCAAAGCGGTTTATAATCCCTAAAATTATTTAAGGCCCCGCCTATCAGACCACTTTTAAACTCAAATCATTCAATTACAAAGTTACAGACAGTTTGGTCAAACTTTGAAAATAACCTTGATTAGAAATCAAAGTATGTGTTGATTAGTACTCTCAGCTACGACCACACCAACTTTTAGCTCATTATGTGTAAAATTAACTAAAGTTTATCCACTTTTGTGTTTTCTACAATGGCTTAGCTATGGCGGCCATCTTGAATTGAGTTGATTTGACAAGTTAATCATCACCCTGGTTGATTACTTTATGAAAGTTTCATTAAAACTCTTTGGCTCTATTCTTTAGCTCTACTCTCTATTTTGTTTTTCTGTTTCTCAGAATAACAACCACCGCTGCCTGCATGATGGACTTACGGAGGTATCCTCTGGATGAACAGAACTGCACTCTGGAAATCGAAAGCTGTAAGTCCTCCTGCTCACATTAACCCTCAGAATTAAATGTCATGAGTACTCTGAAGATGGCTCAACGCTGCCTAAATAATTTCACTTTATCAAACATGAAAAGTCACACAAACATCAAGGATTTGACTTTGTTTGGTTTGGGGTCATTTGGGGAAAAAGAAGGACACATTTGTCTTTTTATATCCGGAGATGATTTTGCTTCCAGAAATAAAAACAATAAATTCATTGAGGTACATGCAATCCAGTCTCACATGAAAACAAATCCAACAAAATGAATCAGTAATAAGAAAATGTTAATTAGTCATTAGTTAGAAGCCATTCATTATTTCAGAATCAGATTCAGCTTTATTGGCTAAGTATGTTGCCAAACACAAGGAATTTGTTTCCGACAGATGATGTCTCTCCAATACACATAATACAATATACACAGCTTTAACTCTAAAGTCACTGGGAAGAATTACCTTAGAAATTTTATTGAAAACCGAAGCAAAAGCTGCTTTGGAACAAAAAAAAATATTTTTTAAGAATATTGTGATGTTTATCGGGGGACATCATATAAATCACACTTATTTTGGAACTATTCGTTCATATCGTCTTGCAGATGGATGAGTGGACTTGTTAGTTTGATGGCTCATTTGGTATGTTCTTGTATTTTTTATTCTTGAATATTTTGATTACATAATTAAGCTTTAAAATGAGAAAAAAGTATTTAAATATCTGAATAAAAAGGAAATTATCACAGAAGTGGAGAAAAAAGTGTAACTATTCAATCCTTTGACATCCGCTATGAGGTAAAACTCTAAATAAACAAATGAAATCCAGACGTTTCCTTTTGAATATTAGGAAAGTAAAAACCAGGTCTGTACCGTACAAATTTGAATTTAACAGAGCTTTTGTCTAAAGTAAGCCATGATATGTGTGTATATATATA